TCGAGACGCGCGAGAGGGCACCAGGTCAGCTTTGCATGATCATCCGACGCAGTTCCATCGCTCACCATCGTGATAAAGGCGCCTAGCTACAGCATCGAAAAAGACGCGATGGAAGATCTGTCGACCTGGGTCGCCTCGATAAGAATTCCAAAGGGTCTGTCTTCCGCCACTGCTGCTGCTATTCGCCATACTATCCCAGCCAGGTTGCCCCGCATCTTCGCGTACCAAATCATTACCGACTGCGCTTATAGCGTGCCTGCGCGCGTGACTTAGAGGAAAGCGGAATTCGATGCTGACTAGACGTTTTTCTCCTGGCCATAAATCTTTGAGAGCTGCATCCATGCGGTGCACCATTGCTTCGTACGTGATGCGAGCCAGAGACGCCGCGTTGACGCCTTCTTCCTCCGGTCGCGAGATGTCGGTCATCAGGACTAGAGTCGTCAGAAGCTGTGTCACAAAAGGAACAGGGTCAGTGCCGGGGGAAGATCGCTCGCGCAAGGACTTGTCAGAGACTCACGCCTTCCATCTCGACCATCATGCTGCTGTCGAAAGAGCTGCGCTCGACTGGTGTCATATTGCGAAAGTCTGAGGCTTTTCCAAGGGCTTGTTGCAAGCGCTCCATACGGTACGCTTCGGCCAGTGTTACCATCAACCTGTGCTCTGCTCGGTTGAGTAGCGGCACTGACAGGCCACGGAAGATTGACGAGGGCGATTCGCTTGGGCATCATCACTGATCTGTGAGGCTTCCACACACCCACTCACGCCTTGCGAAGCGCAGCCAGTGCAACAGCAACTTCATCTCGCACCATTGCAAGTCCAGAAAGAAAGGACCAGGACCAAAGGTAGCAGAGGCCAAAAGTCTAGAGCTCGTGAAATGGGTGCAAAGAGGCTCAGCAAGTCGTGCGCAAAACTCTATCTGACTTTGACAATACGCTCACCCTTGATTCTCGAACAGCTCTTGAGGCGCACGAATGTCGGTGTCGATCAGACGAAGACAGATCCACCCTGCAGGTGCTTCTATCATTGGTGCCTGCGAGGAGCGTCGAATCACTCCCTCGTCATTAATGACGCACATATTCCCCGATACTCGAGGGGTATCCTGCAAGAGTTCGATCGAAAGTGGAGTCCATCAACGCTGAGAAAGTACGGGTATTCAGAGACGCTCACAGGTGCTTGATAAGGTGACGGTTGAAGGACAGTAGGCATGTGATGCTGCTCTTGCTGGTTCACGGCTGCCTCTCCGATAATGTTGGCTAGACTGGGAGTCAGGCTTATACCCACCCCCAAGCTGCTTGCTGCCTGTGGAGATGCAGTGCCGGCGTGTAGGCCGTTGTTGCTCTGCAGAATGTCGGCGACAGCGCTATGCTCGCCCAAGCCTAATCCGGAGTAGGTGCTGCTCGATACAGTCGATTCCCACAGCAGGGGGCAAGAAAGTGAGAGAAAAGCACATGAGCGAAACCTCGCAAAAGAGTTTATGAATGCAGCGTGCTGGGAGAGCGGCACCTACCTGGAGCGACCACGACGTCCACTAGTGGAAGCACCATCGGCAGAACCCTCTGTAGAAGCCATCCAAGTATCGCCCGTTGAGTCAAGCTTATGTTTCTTCCGTTGTGCGGTGATCGAGTCCTGGATGAGCGAGGAGTGGATTTCATCGGTCTCCATGGACGCTGTGGCTATTTGCGCGTGCAAAGCAGCGGTCTCCATACCTGGCGAGCGTTGCGACAACAAGGTCTAAAGGGGCTTGGA